ATGTAGATAATGGATTAACCAAGCTAGATAAACACCCACTTCTCGAAGCCCACGCTCCACGCTGCATCGCTGATTTGTTTTGCCCAGAATCGTTGGGTTTTAGACCGGCTGTAGAAATTCCCCTCAACTAACCGGATTTGTGATTCTTTTGGGGTCTCGCTCACTTCCTTATTTTCATCTCTGCTTTTCGTTTGTCAGAAGTGTCGCTCCATCCTTTGGTCCATGGTTGACCCAAATACCCATGCAGCTCCCTCCCCCTGACCTCCTATCAAAACACAGCACTGCTTCTCTTTCTATTGTTTCATATCCATCTCTTCTGAATCAAACACTTTGTTCTTAACAGCTTTGGCTTTGTTATTGTTTTTTTTGTTTGTTTGTTTTTAATTATGCAACAATTTTCTAACTGTCTTTTAATTTCTAATTAGCTGGTGGTCTCAGATTTACCCTTGAAAAAAGAAACTGAAATGTATCCTATGTGGATACTGCTGAAGAAGCTCTTTGTGTTTGACAAATGGTTTTTTGACTGTTGTATTTTGACCTTTTGCAGAAAAAAAATCAAAACATCTATGTCTTGAAGAAATGTTTCATGGAGAGTTAAATGACATGTTATATTTCTTGGTTTTCATCTTGGATAGCATTACATAGCCCCTCGTAAAACTAATTTTACATTTCCATTTTCTTTGCAGATTAAACATGATTCAGTGTATTTCAGACAGAGCCAAAGTGAGCTTTACATGTCCCCCCGTCTCCACTCTTTCACCTTTTAGCTTTATGTTTAGCAGCTGGCACAAGAGCCGTATTGATCTCCACGTCCAACTCCTGACAAGAAAGGAAATAAGCATACTTCTGGAAACGGCAAACTATTAATCTAACATGTGAACCTTGTAATTCATCACAGGTTAGAAGGTTCATTTCTCAGCATTCTGGGTTCTTTCATGAAGAACTGCAGGGGAAATTATCCCACATGCATCGATACAACATCACAAAGCAAATCCTTATCAAGTGCTCTCACAGTCACATCATGTATCTATTGATATTTTGTATTTCAGCAAAGGGCTCAGTGAAACCTGTCGTGGTTGCAGCTGCCATTTGACTGCGCCGATAACAGTTTTGTCAAATAACACTCCTTGTTGTTTTGTTGTTATCTCGTGTTTGTCATCCGGTTCATTTGCATCTTCTCTTTGCATTTCATGTTGATTCCAACATTTCTGTTCGGTGGTTTGTATGTGTGTTTTGTTTTTGGTTTGCAGCTTTTGTCTGACGTTTGAAACTGACCTCCTATTTTTAATTAGTTGTCAGCATATCTACAGTTTATATTTGTGCGAATATCTGAAGTGGTGGAACAAACGTATGTTATAGCAAGTTGTTTGGTTTCCTACATAGAAGTTCACTGTAGCTGAGAGACGAGGCTTAAAATGTATCTCTGTATACATTTTTTATTTATTTATTCATTTCTACCCTACACATTGTTTTATTGGACTTTGCATTTCCCAGATCTCTGTGATAGAGGTGGCAAGTGAAAGCTTAGCATGACACGAAAGGGCTCCACTTAAAAGAATGAGGTTCAGAAACACTGGAGTTTTCCTTTCTGAGTGCCAAGCAGCATTCGTGAGCTGTGTTTCTGGTTTTGTCTGACCTTGTGGCCAATAAGGTCATTTGAATTTAGGGCCTATTTCAATAAAAGGTTATGGAAATTAGCCTGGACATGAACCCAGAAGATAAATTGGTTTTCTTATGAACTGGACCTGCACTTTAGAATAATTTCACTACGACAAAATAAACTGATCAGGTTTTGATTTTCATACAAGTAGAGGCTGACTTTTTATATCGCGTGTGTTTTTGAAATAGTAGTATGGGGGCGCCCGGTAGCTCCACTGGATAAGACGACGACCCACAAACTGGGGCTATAGTCCCCGATGCAGCGCTTGTTTGATCAACTCCTGACCACGGCCATTTGCTGCAGGTCTTTCCCCATTCATCTCCCCCCTTTCCTGTCTCTCTCCACTGCTCTGATAAATAAAGGCAAAAACAAAAATGAATTTAAAATAGTAATGTGGACTAGAGCCTGACCGTTATTTTTGGCTGATATTGGCTTGAAATAGTACCGACTGCAGCACATGCAGCAAAGTACGTATCACAGACGGTGGTGCGTAGTTAAATGGTGTCTTTACAGTAAGCGGCTGGCTAATTTACAACATATGTTACTGGAAGGCTCATAAACAATGACCTCATCATAATTTCCTATCTCAATATTACTCTATATCTGTATGCATATAAACAATATCAGGCAATATATCAGTATTGGAATTTTTACCACTCTGAAAGAGTTCTTTAATAAGTAGGACTCCAAAGGAAACTTTCAATTTGTTGGATTTCTCGCTATAATTTTTGTAAGATTACTACGTAAATTACCTTGTGATGACATATGTATTGAATTGGTAATATATAAATCTAATTGAATTTTAAAAAAAATAAATAAATAAATATCATTGACCCCAAAGATCCAGTATTGATCAGGCTGTAATGAGGCTAAAACAGGGCTGGTGTGGTCCTTTACTCTAAACCCATCATGAATTCTACAAATGCAAAATCAAAATCAGATATTTTGTGAAACAACTCAAATTACCTCGCCTTTACATTTTTTTGAGCATTATATTTAGTCCTTTTTTCCACCTAATAAGGGTCATAATGCAATCAGCTGGTGTGCCATTGCAGGTTAAAGAAGTTGGGATCCACTCTTAAATGTTTAGTTTACACTGTTGACCTAAAGCCAAAGTCAGGAATTGGAGAGTACTGAAGATATCATGACAGGAACGGAGCCTCTCTGTGAGTATAGGCATGATAATACTGTAACACAGTATAAAGCACTGGCATCAGCTAATTAGCCCTTAGTGAGAGCCCATCAAAATTTCAGTACACTGTGTGGCAGTTTAACACCACGGTCCTTTTTTAAAATTGCAGTGTGGGCTCTGAACTGAAACTGAACTGGTAGAGGTGGGCGTGAAGCTGCAGCAGCACTGGGTTGATGCTACTGTTATTAGTCTGTCTGCGTCTTCGCTCAGTTATTACACTGAAGCTTTGTAGCCAATTAGACATAGATCACTGCCTTCGTATACTAGATAGATATGTCAGATAGATTTATTTGAATTTCAGCGTCGTCATTAACAGTCATGTCACAACTATTAATTACTGCAGGAGGTGTTCCAGCGAGGCCTTGGGATAATATTAGTTGACCAGAATGAGCGAGTATTACTCTGCAATTAAGCAACAGTGTCTCGATAAGAGCTGGCTGAGTCCTGCCACTGAAAATGAATAGCAGGTCATTATATCTACTGACGGAGCCGAGAGAGAAACAGCAGGAAGCACTCAGTGTTGTGAAGGTGACTGTGGTTCTTCTAAGTGCTTCAGCTCACCTGATATCAGCGTGTGGAAAGTATTGCGTAAAGTAAAGAGTTCTGCTGGTGAGCTTCTGATTTCCCAGCCACCTGTGATAGTATAAAGAGAATTTGTCACTGTGGTCTGTCGGTTTAAGTTGAAGTCAAGCATGGATTTCTGAACACATAAGAGCGTCTGGAATGAATATTTAAGGCGGTTAGCCAAAGTGGGCCAAACCATATTTACCAGTTTTGCAGAAAAATATGGTCAAAATTTTGTGTTGCTAAAAAAAACACATCATGGTTGTTGGAGGAGTCATTATATGCATCTAAAGATATCCAACACTGTCCAGAGCTAGAAATAGCTACTTTGTGATGACTTATTTAAGTTTTAATTTTGCCTTTGCTTTTGCTGAGTGCCAAAGCAGGCCATACCACATTTTCTACTTTTTGAGAAAAAAGCTGATTCAGGTTTGTCTTGCTAAACAGCATTGAAGAGGTAACATGGGTCATCATAAGGAACAAGATATACTTTTGAGGACCATGGGGTAGAAATAGATGCTTGGTGGTTAATTAAGTTTTTATTTTACCTTACCGTACCTACGAGTTGAGTTTTCACAACACTTGAGGTCGCGCTGTCCGCCATCTTGAATCGCAAACAGGTGCAACTAATATATATAATGGTCAGCAATTCCTGTGGCTTGGCCCAGTTTGCCACTAAATTTTCACGCTAAAGCCATTATGGGCCAAACTTCAAACTTCAGACATTGCTAGTGGGCTGTTGGTTGGACCACTTTGCCACGAACTAGTAGACCATAAACACTTAGCAAAAAAACCCCATAAAACTCAACTTTGGATTTTTTTTGTGGTTTGGCCCACTTTGACACTGAACCCCTCATTTAATTAACAAAAAAAAAACCCTTAGTTTTAACAACAATTTATTCATTAGTAGAGCAGCTATTTTGATAAGCTATGAATCTTTGTGGGCATTTTCTTTATGGCAAAAAATGCTACTTTGAATGTTGTGGGAATGTTCTGCTCTTCTGTGCTTTGTATGAAGATAAACTGAATATGTTTGGGTTGTGGACAGTTGGGGGGATATGATAGATAATGTGAAGGCATCATCTCAGCCGTCATGTTGACTACTACAGCTCCACTTGTATAAATTCTGTGTGTGTTCCCAAGCATCTTGTGTAAATATTTCATGTTCACTGGGTGGTTTCAGTATTTTGCATCCACTATTTTACATAACAGTTGTGGGTATTATCAGAGCTCGAACAAAGCATTTAGATTAGGACTATTATGTTGTAATCAGATAAGCTGCAGTGATGGGACTGAAACTGAAGCATGTAAAAGCTTGTTTTAAATTACTGCATCATAATGACACAGTGTTTATCTAGAAACTGTTATTTTGCTGAGTATAACTGCGGACACTGTATCTGTAGTTACATCACTTGCGGCTTATGATCAGATTTATGTGTTCACGGGGAGTTTTAATGCATCTCACGTATCGTGCTGTTCATGCAGCTCACAGTCTTGGTGTTTACATGCCTCTGTTGCTCGTCTTGTCTTTCAGTGCATGAGGAGTGTTACTCTGCTGCAGACCGCCACAGAAGCCTGAAGCTGCCCCACCAAACCTGGGACCATGTCGGGAGGATACGATGAATACGCCAGCCAGGAGGAGACCACAGACAGTTTCTGGGAGGTGAGACAGCAGGGAGCCTTCTTTAACAGATTAAACCCAACTGGGATGTGACGCTGCCCAGTGATGAACTCTCAGTGAACCTACTTTGTCTGGGAGGTGAGAAGACAAGATGTGGGGCCTCGTTTATCAGCTGCGTGTAGGCGCCTAAGTCAGGCGTGGACCCGTCAGGACGCATAGCATCAGATTTAGATTGGATCACTGAGCTATGGATGCTCCAAGGGCAGAGAAGTTTATAACACTCACACAATTCCTCAACATTTGGTGTCAATATTTATGAATGAGTTGACCAAGCGAGCAAAATTCACCTCTTTTGCAACTCTTAGAAAATAAGTAAAATATAGTAAGTGCATGATTTAGAAAGTGGCACTCTGACTCCTCCTGTGTCACTGATGTCTCTTTGTGAGCTTCACTTGGATTGTTTTCTGGTCTTTTTTGTCCACCTTGGATACATTTCTTATTGGATTTTATTGATCACACGCTACCTTCCAGCCCTTATATTTCTTCACTGACAAACTACTAGTGAAATAAAAGTCTTGGGTTTAGTTGAACTTCCTTTACCAAACCGTAGTTTTATTTTCTGCAAAGTTTGTCTTCCTTTTCTTGCTCATGTTGTCACCATAACAGTGTTTTTTGAAATTTTTTTTCGCAGCGACTTAGCAAACCATTTAGAAGGGACACTTTAAGGCTCTAGTTTAGGGTTAATTGTTTTTGTTAAGGGGTTTATTTATTGCAAGTGGATGAAGAAATAGGTTGAACTGTCCTGTCCCTGCAGATTTTAAAACTGTGATAAGCTTACCTAGTTGGGGGGCTGAGCTTCTGAGATTAAGGTTGTGCTGACTTCCCCATGATTAAAGTCTTGTGTTTATTAAAACCATGCTACTATTTCTCTCCACCCACCACAGTGACAGACATATTGTGCAGGTTCACCAATGCATTCCTCTGCTTTCACACTGACTCCTGTTTAAAGGCAGGAAGTTGCTGTTTGCAGTAAAAAATAGCTGGAATTACCTGCATCTGCTCAAAAACACTGATAAAAAGGAGATAAAAAGAAAACAGTTCAGCAAGTCAGAGAAACAGGGTTAGACAAGGGGTAAAGTCAACAAGCGGGCAAAAGTCCAAGAACATGCCGGAGGTCAAAAACAGAAAGGTACAAGACTCTTGGTTGTAACAGGCAATCTGGCAAGTGGATTTGAACCTGTGTATATACTGGGATGCTGATGAGGCAATGGAGAACAAGTGAGCAGGTGGGTGTGGGAAAAAACTACATCCACGCTAATACATTTTTTATTTTTAAATAGTGTATAAAACAAAAATGATCTCATGTCTAGATGAGTGTTTTAGAATGTTTCAGAAATAATCTTTATCATGGGCTGTAAGGTGGCTCGGTGGTTAGCGCCGTCGCCTTGCAGCTTGGGTTTGCATCCCACTTAGGGCACCTGGGATCTTTCTGTGGAGATCTCCCTGTGCAGCGTATATCCAGGTTCTCCAACTTCCTCCCCAATCCAAAAACACGCTGAGGTTAATTGGTGATTCTAAATTGGCCGTGAATGTGAGTGTGCTTGGTTGTCTGTCTCTAAGTGTAGCCCTGTGATAGACTGGTGATCTGTCCAGGGTGTTCTCTATTTTCGCTGCATAGGCTGGGATGGCTTTTCACTGCATATGCATGTGTAAATTGGAGGCAGAGCGTTGGGTCATATGATCGAGGTGTGATGAATGCACGAGACCTGCAGTGACTGATAATCAGGACAATCAGGACGTGATGTGAGTGGAAAGGCCAACATGCATTGAAAAGGCTTCAGAGAATACCTGTGAACCAGGCTGATGTCGGCACAGAAAAAGGTCACTTGGCAGATGGAGGGTACTGGGTCCGAAAAGGAGCATTGATTGCAATAGTTGAGCCATTTTGGATTTATAAAGAAAAAACAGTAAAATTCACAGCACTGTTTTTTAGACATATTTTTATATGAAAAAGTCATGAAAAACATCAAAGGCAACTCATGATAAAACTATTGTGTGGTCCAAACCCCAAATGAATGGAGATGGCAAGTAAAATGTGACACCCATCAGATAACTCTCCATCATGTTAATGAAAACAGTAATAATTATCCTCTGTAGTCGCTATGTTTCAAACAACAGTGATCACAAGTTATTAATCATTAGTGTTTTTGGGTTGTTTTTTTTTCTGATTAATTGATAGTTCAGTCTGAAAATATCACAGAACTGGGGGGTATTCTCATAATTTCCCAACATGTGCCCTTTTTGAGCTGAGCAACAATCCAAACCCCCGAAATATGCAACGTACTACCATATGAGGCGAAGAAAAGCAAGATGTTGTTACACCTGAGAAGCTTTCGTTTGGAAATTACTTAACTAATTAACACTTTGTCAAAATACAAAGAATCAGTTTTTCTCAGATGAAAGTATGTTGTACTGAGTTTCTCCTACAAGATTACTGAGGTCTACACCGAAGGGATCAATAAAGTTTTTTTCTATTCTTCTTCTTCTATTCTACATCACCACCAATGTTTCCTGAGCACAAACAGTACGAAGTAATTTGAGCAACAAGTTCCCTGAAGCCTATTCATTATAAATGAGAGCTGTTGACTCTTCGCAGTGTTCAAACCAGGAAAACATTCACGGAGAACACAGACGGTCATGTTACTTTATATTCAGGCGTAGTGGTGTGTATGATAAGTGTGCTCAGTGGGTACCATAGACAGAAGACAAATATTGTCACTTCACACATTCGAGTTTTGTAATCGATTTCCTCTCAGACTCTGTTGTGTTTTATCCTCATCGTGTCACTTCAGCCTGACAGTGTGTTCGGAAATCAGCTGGAGCAGCAGAGGTGGTTGGCTTGCAGCACACAGTCACTTCATCACAGTCAGTCACTGCATTACTGTAGAGCTGCTGCAGTGCTGCCTGCTGACTCGGCTGGCTGCCGCCGGAGCAGGAGCCTGGTGTGGAATACAATCATTTGTTCCCCCACCCCCACCTCAGCTGCATATATTGAGTTCAAATTGGAGGTTTGTTGAGTGTCATTTTCAGAGTGAGTCATGGATAAGCATCTATCACATATTTAGCGAAAACTCAGTCCTTTGTTTGCTGTCACAGAAGTGTGAAATGAGTGCACTAAGCTGAGGTTCCCCTCTCTCTCTCCTTTTCCCTCAGTGGCTCTGTCTCTGGGCAAAGCTATCAGCTCTCTGGGAGGCTGCTGCTCCCAAGTCCGTGGAGAGTTGTAAATTATATGACATTATCCCACCCAGCGTTTCCATTGCATAACTTCACACACAGCGTCTGCTTCCCTGCTGATCCTTCCTGTCCGTTCAGTGCATCAGCTGCAGGCTGAGAGGAGTTTGTTTTTAAAGTGGCGTCTCACATAATGATCTTCGTTTGACTCTATCGGTAATACAATACAAAATCTACAGATAGCTGGAGCTTTAACCAGGAATGTTTCCTATTTAGCGTGATATTTACTGTATGTTGAAGCACAAAATGTTTCTCGATTTTATGTCCGGTATAATTTGTGTGGACAGGGAGAGTTAATGACATGCAACAGAGGTTAGTGGCTGGCTGTGGATTAAGAGACTTTATTATCGTAGTGTAGTAACTGTAATTAGAAGATCATTTATAGCCGCAAGTAACAAAGGGGGGCATCTGAAAGCCTCTACAAAAATCTGCATAAATGTAGGACTTCTAATATCCTGCTAACAAAGACCTGATATATTTTGCTCTCCTGGAACGAAACTCTGAAGTTGAAAACATTCTTTTTTAAGGCGCATTAATATTACACACTTACCATTCAGCTAGTTTGATGTAAGTGGGAACAAGCAGTCAACAAGTGATCACTTGTTTGCATTCTTTAATCATGACTCCTTAAAAATGAATTTGAAGAATTTAAGAAAAAGTTGTGATACAATTATTAATAATTGTAATAATAGTAGCAGTGATAATATTTACCTATACCAGGGGTAGTGTGTCTAATGTGTTTATCTTGTCTAACACACTGCAGTGACTGTGTTGTTATTTTCTGTTGTTTTTTGTAAAAGGTCGGGAACTACAAACGCACAGTGAAGCGGATTGATGACGGTCATCGTCTCTGCAATGACCTGATGAACTGCATCCAGGAGCGTGCCAAAATCGAGAAGGCCTACGCCCAGCAGCTGACTGAGTGGTCCAAGAGGTGGAGGCAGCTGGTGGACAAAGGTAAGATATGTTTCACACTCAAATCATGTACTTTTCCTGTACCATACAGTACTGTGCAAAAGTTTCTGAAAGTAAAGTAAGCATGCTTTCAAAGATACATGAGAAGTTTTAATTTATAGAGCGCAGTGAGCAGGAAAAAAAATCTAAATCAAATCAGTATTTTTGATTTGATTTTTGATTACCCTTCCCCTCTAAAGCGGCACCGACTCTCTGAGGAGATTCCGTCTGCCTCAATGTTTTCTGTCTCGTCAAGTAATACAATCAACTGGATGATTTTGAGTTTTCTGTAGCTTTCTTTGTTGTTCTTGTGGGTAAAATATTTTTTTTTTATTACTGTGGCTATAAGTGTGGATTCAATGTCATGCTAAAGAATGAAGTAGGGACTAAGAAACAAACTTTTTTTTATTTTAAATTTTGAAAGAAAGCTTCAGTGCCTTTTTCGCCCTTCATCCCTCCTCCAGGGCCTCAGTACGGCACGGTGGAGCGAGCCTGGATGTCTGTGATGACGGAGGCAGAGAAGGTGAGCGAGCTTCACCAGGACGTGAAGAACAACCTGATCAATGAGGACTTTGAGAAGGTGAAGAACTGGCAGAAAGACTCGTACCACAAGCAGATGATGGGAGGATTCAAGGAAACCAAAGAGGCAGAAGAAGGCTTTAAAAAGGCCCAGAAACCCTGGGCCAAAAAGCTGAAAGAGGTGTGTGGTTTTTACTTATAATGCACAAAGCGCAACAGTGTTAGACATTTCAAAAACTCATTTTTAAAGGTCTGTTCACCCAAACTACATAAACAAAATTCAAATGTAGCCATGCAGAAATCAGTTTAACCTGCAGAGGTTTTGAAAATGTATTTTAGATTGTGGTGATTTGTAACTAGGACAATGTTTCTGAATGGACATGTCGCTGTTGTGTGTTTTGTTGTAGTGGCAGAAGAGATTTCACAATAAAACCAGAAGTATTTGCATGGCAAAAGTCTGACATGATAACAAAGTAAAATGTATTTGGGAAAACTGAGCTTTCATGTCTCTCATGTTCTGCTAGAATTACTAATTAACTGCATTCACTTTGTATGCTGGTATAGATTATATAGAAAACATATCCTAATCATATGAGATCCTGTCAGCTTCACAGTAAAGGTGAAATAGTCAGTTCATGTATTAGTTGTTGTTAACGGATAAAACAAGATTTATGGATAATGACAGAAGTCTTTTGTTGTAGATGCTCCCTGTTTGTGACATATTGATACCAGATCTGATCCTTGTGTCATTTCTTTGTCATCTTTCCTGCTCAGCTTGAGGCTGCCAAGAAGTCGTACCACATGGCCTGCAAAGAGGAGAAGCTGGCTACCACCAGAGAGGCCAACAGTAAAGGAGAGACTTCTGTGACAGCCGACCAGCAGAAGAAACTCCACGAGAAAGTGGACAAATGCAAACAGGATTCACAGAAGGTGAGCGCACCAGCTGCTGCAGCTCTGCTGGATCGTTGTTATGCAAAAGCTATTTTCTGCGATCAAGCCGAAGGCAAATCAACTCTCGGCATATTTAAAGGCAGCCTGGCTACAGTCAGTATAACATTGTTTATGTGTGACTAAATGCTACACCTTCCCATCTGTATCTCTTCTTCGCTACTCTGCAAGTGGACTCTGGTCGTCTTTTATTGCTTTGTCCTTCACACTCCTGAACTCTGGTTCTTGTTGCGCCTAAATAACATACGTACAGCTCATATTGTCCTTTCACGATCTATGGGATTCACATTTGACCACAGGCATAATAAAAGAGAAACATGTCTCATTAAAACAGTCAATCAAAGCCCTTTGGTTCTTACTCAAGACGATATGGATCAGCTGTCAGCAGACTTATGTATATTGATTCAACTTAAAAATACACTCCACCATGCATGTTGATCATAGTGAAGGAACTAATGCAGCAGTGTGGCTCAGTCATGTGTTTTTTTGCCACTTTCTGGACAACAGTGGAGCTGAATGACACAGACATATGAGCTTTAACACACGTAAACTACCCAGAAAGCAGTAGTTAGTCAGATCTTTTGTCATTTTTGGTATTTTTTTAAAGGATTTTCCAGAATGATTCTCTAAGAGTGTGTTGCTTTTGTGTGTGTTAGGCGAAGGAGAAGTACGAGAAGGCTCTGGATGAGCTCAGCAAGTGCACCCCTCTTTACATGGAGAACATGGAGCAGGTGTTCGAGCAGTGCCAGCAGTTTGAAGAGAAGAGGCTGAGCTTCCTCAGGGAGGTGCTGTTGGATGTCAAGCGTCACCTCAACCTCACAGAGAACCAAAGGTATGATGTGTTTGGATCTGATGAGACGATTGTCAGCTAGTCACGAGCCACACACTGAATCCTTGCTGTCTGTTCACAGTTACACCACAGTATACAGAGACCTTGAACGCACCATCACATCAGCCAGCCCACAAGAAGACCTGAAGTGGTTCAGTAACACCCATGGCCCCGGCATGCATATGAACTGGCCACAGTTTGAGGTAACAAAATACCATAACGGGCTGCAGTTTGAAGACTTAAATCATCACTGAAGACCTGCACAATATTGCTGTATACACTGTCCAAGCATAAAAATAGCCTGACCTCAAGGAAATACAACTTTTTGCCTGTTTGTCATAAGTTAGATGAAAAGTTTAAAACTACTTTCATGTTTGTATGGTACATATGAAGCTATAGACTGCAGACAGTTTGCTTAACTTAACATATAGACTGAAAACAAGAGAAAACAGCTAGCTTGGCTGGAACGTTATGTTGTGGTTTTGCATGTGGTTGTGTGTTGGACTGCATGCTCACAGTGACTCCATGAATTTACGTCCACTCATTTAACTCTCTGCAAAACAGGAAATAAGTGCATTTCCCAAACTGGTGACCCGTTCCTTTAGTGTTACATTTTCTATGTGACGGTAGATAACAGAGAACTCTCTTTTGCAAGGTAGCAGTGTACGAAATCTGCAGCTTTAAAGATCATCTTGGTACTGGAATGTAACACAGTGAGTGTTAGAGAACAGCAGTCACTGTGCAGGGCTTACAAATCCCAGTCTAAGCATGTTTTCTCTCTCTCTCTTTTTTTTTTTTTTTGCAGGAGTACAACCCAGACCTCAGCCACAACATCAGTAAGAGAGAAAAGTCAAAGAAAGGTGATGGAGTCATGCTGACTCATGTCACGACAGCAGGAGACAATGCTCAAGCTGGAGACCGGGGGAGGTAAAATCTAATCAGTTTACTGGTTTTAATTAATGCAAATCATTGTATCCAGATCATCTCCTTAACACACAAAGCTGACTTTGATTTTTGCAAGCTACAGCTGCAATCCCAAGTGCCAATATAATTGTTTATCACAACTCCAACCCAATGCACACCTTCAGACATGTACAACAGAAAATTGAATAAATAGTAATAGAAGGACACAACGACACAAAAACATTTGCAAATCACACACGTACAAACGTACGCAGTGGCTGTTACAGTGGTAGCTTCAGTGCATAATGACATATTTTAACGGGCTTGAATGTGTCCAGTTTAAGCAGCTATGAGAAGAACCAGGCGTACACGGCCTCCACAGAGTGGTCGGACGAGGACCAGACGGCTCCGAACTCAGGCAACGACACCAACGGAGGGACGAACCCCTTTGATGAAGAAGTGGGCAAAGGCGTGAGAGTGAGAGCGCTGTACGACTACGAAGGCCAAGATCATGACGAGCTCACCTTCAAAGCAGGTGGATAAAGTCAGCATCACGCTACGCAAGTTTTTGTTTTTGCCAAAGCAAGTTAGTGTCAGTGATGAGCAGCGTGATACAGAATCTGTGTATTCAGCCACGTTTTGGTTGAGTGAATGAGATGACAGACATTTGTCAACTTAAATTGACAAAAATGGCCTAAAACACAAGTGATGACTGTATTTGACCATCGTGGGCGTGTTACAATTCTGAGTTGACAGAATGTGAAAAAAGCATCGTAATCAGTCAGATATTTATTACAGTATATTAGCCAAAAACAGTCTAATTACAATATAAATGGTCTCTAAATGGTATTTCTGGAAATTTACTTTATCACAATGTATGTGGAACTACTAATTTTATATAAATTACATATATTTGATATATATATATTTGCCTACTAAGTTTATAGATGGATTAGTGCAATAGTTCTCCACTTCTGCAGTTGCTTGGCAGTAGGTGAAAACACTATGGAGTGACTCATTTCAAATAATAGATATTGCAATTTGAATAAACAAAAACTAGAGCTGCATTTTAAGTGAGCTGTGAGAGTAGGACTGAATGATTAGGGAAAATACCAAATCACAATAGTTCTTGTGCAATTTTTTTTTTTTTTTTGAAAGTCAAGCATCAGTTCAGTATTCACTGTGTAATAGATTTAAAACATGTGATAGAGCGTTAGCACTTGAAATGCCATCAAAAACATCACACAAGGAGGACAGCATGAATTTGTAAAACCACTGACACAACACTTTAAATCCTGGTGCAAAATTAAAATGGATTTATTGTTCAGCCCCAGCTGATTGTGTGTGAAAGCGTTGGAGAAGGTTTATTTAAACTAACGATTAAATGGTAAAAATAGCTGGGTTTGTTATTGTAAGGATGCCGGACTCCATCTGTCAAGATCTGTCTGACCAAAAAGATTTAGAGGTTGAAAAAGTCTGCATGTGTATGACAAAACTTTGTTTTTGCTATGAAACAAAGTTGTCACTGAAACGTATTATAACCACTGTGAATCAGTGCTGACCACAGCTGCTGTCCCTCATGCTGCTTTTCAAATCTACAGTATATTTAGGATGATTCCAATTTCTTTGAACCCTGCATATTTCCCATTCTTGTAGCTGTTGTGGCACTCTGGAGACAAGGAGAGCCACAAAACATTGTATATCTCAAAAAACAAGAAAGTGTGAGCTTCCTGTAGCTTTAGAATTATGTGATTTTTACATGAATCGCTTTAAGCTGTTGTTTTTGAGTCTGCAAAAGTAAACACAGAAATTAGCTGCCTGGAATCGAATTGCTAACTGCATTTGGATCTCCATCTGGGGGAAATTTGCCTTCTGACTTCATCACCACGAACACTGTTTACATGTGTGAGGCTGACTTTTGGATATACGCTACTTTGTGTGACTCCCCGTTTCAGTTTATATCTAGCATCACGCACTGAGCCACAATAGCTGTTTTAATATGAACATGCCAGGCTGAAATCCAGCAGAATGATATTTTAAGTACTTAAAACAGGAAATTGTGGTGGTTTATTCCTTTATTGTTCATGTTGACAGATATATGATCGATGTTGGCACTGTTTCACATAATCTCATCATGCTGCACTTGTCTCTCGTGTTTATCAATGAAGGGGATGAGCTGACGAAGCTGGAGGATGAGGACGAACAGGGCTGGTGTAAAGGTCGCCTCGACAACGGCCAGCTGGGTCTTTACCCAGCTAATTATGTGGAGCAAATCTAGCTGTTCCAGCTGAGGATGCTTCATCCTCGTCGGAGGACAAACCCAAACTGAACCGTCCAGTCATAACTGCACATTGCCAGAGACTTTAAAGCAAAGCTTCCTCCTGTCAGGCACAGCGAGCTGTGTTCATCTCGGCACTCACTGGACTTTTCTGAAAGAAGATCTGTTCAGGATCTCGTCACCTCCACACACTGCAACTGAAGCAAAATATTTTAGTCTCCTTTGTGTGTAGCCGTGATATCAGTTGTGATGCTAACATGCCATACAGTATGGTCGCTCATCATAATATTTGTATGGTATTGTCAGTTGTGCCTGGATAGCGAGAATGAGCTATGCATTGTGCATTTCATGTATATATTTTAATTTTTTTTTTTTTTTTTTTTTTACAGTCTGGATGCTTGTATAGTATTTGTCTTCATTGAATACAGTGTTTTCTTCCTTAGTATGTACATATTTATCCTTAAAGGAATAGTTTGACATTGGGAATAATTTACTTTCTACCTGAGAGTTAGATGACAAGATTTGTATCACACTCATGTGCAGAGAAATATCAAGGTACAACCAGCAGCTGGTTAGCTTAGCTTAGCATTAAATTTGGAAAGCTTTATGCAAAAGTAATATCTTCCAGCATCTCTAAAGCTCACTTATGAGCAAAGTATATCTTTTTTTTTTTTTAACCCATATGGAGAGAGACAAAACAAAGATGCTGTTGGCAAGTTAACATGCTCAACCACATGGTCAGCAGTTGTAGCAGCTGTGACACACAGATCATGGATGCAATTAAAGGTGCTTGAAAATAAAGCAGTTTTGGAAATCAACAGCAGAAGCTAAATCAATAAAATGAAAATATGAGAAAGCACCTAAAGCTACATATATTTGAGTCATTGACAGCGCAAAAGGGCCCATTAAGCCTCAATTTGGAGAATTTTTGTAGCGATTTAACAAACTGGCTATAAGAGGTTATTTAGTGACTTTTTTAAGGTTTGTTTTGGGACTTGAGACTTGTCAGTCGCTGCACCCTAGCCACTTAGTTCACCATGATTTACTGAGGTTTACATTTTTCTATTAGCCCCTATGCTAAGCTAACTATTTACTAGCTGTATCTAATTTAGCATACATATATATGTGCTGTAACAATTTTCTCATCTAACTCTTTACAAGAAAGGAAAAAGATACGTATTTTCCCACGTTGACGTTGAAATATTCCTTTATGCATCGAGTTGTTTTCGTGCTCCACTCCACAGCATGTCACTGAATTAACATTTTGAGATGAGATAAAAGACAGCTCACCATCAGGAAAAAAAAAAAACACACACACAGCCGCTCTCAGCCAAGCCAGTCTTTGAAATGGAAATCCGTACTCTACCAGACACTGAAAGGATTGTTTACATTAACCTCTTCTGTCCCACCGTCTACAACAACGTACCTGTTGTAACATTTACCTCCATTTAGTTTCTCCTTCTCAACACGTGTTAATAATGCAGACGCCGTGAACAAAACCTGCCTGGAAAGACAAAACCCGCAGCTGTTTTGTAAGGAAGAGCTTGGCTTTCACATCCAGGGTTTTTCATTTATTTTATTTCTCCTCCAATTAATGCGACTTGTTTACTGAGTGAATGTCAGTGACTTGGCATTATCAGCCATCAGCTCTTCTCTCTGTGATTATGTGCATGCTGATGCTTCCCCACACTGTTTACTGCTCTGAGCTGAACTGATCCGGCGCATGGCCTTGATTTGTTTCAACCAAATTACTGACTTGAGTCTTGATTGAATTAAAAGTCCTTATCAGGGTTGATGATCTAATTCACTGTGCACCAAAAAAAATGCAGGCTGCATTAAAATGAGGCATTTCTATTTAAATACTTTGTTTTAATCAGAAAATCAAACTTCACACGAACAAAGGGCAGGGGTGCAGTATATGAGATTGGTTTGTTACTCCTGGTAACTGCACATGCTGGTGAAGACTCCTCTTTTGTCAGCGAGGCAGGCAGGTGTTCTCTTACCGACGCAGACAGAGAAAGCTACAATGAGAAAAGCAGAAAGAGGATCCGTCTCTGAAATATTGATGAGTACGGTCGCCTTTTCTGCTGCAAGAACAAAAAAATTCATTTTCGCAGGATCCATCAGGGAAACGTCTCTTGTTGTGGTGTTAATGCATCTGTGTGCTTCTTAAAAAATAAAAAAAAGTGTTGCTTTCGTTAGCACTGGATTCATTGTGGTGAAATATATATTGCCTTAGCGGAATCTACCACCCTGCCACCCCAAAGACTCCAGACCACCACCTCCGACGCAATGAAAGAGAGCTCGCCTCCACAGAATCCGACTCCTGCTTATCCCGATCAGTTTACACCGACTCGACAAGTGGACCCTCTTTGACTGATTGAATATGATATACATTTAAAGACTTCAGCATCTTAACTGTCTTAATGTATCTTTGACTGTATTTGAAACAGGATGGGACTGTTTACAAGTGTACTGTAAAAGTGCAGCATCCACTGTGAACCTCCTGAAGGACAGAAAAATCATATTTAAAAAAAAAAAATTTGCTCAAACGCTCCTTTTCTTTTCTGTCTTTTGCTCATGCTGGAAACATTTATCTGCAATGTCAAGGAAAACTTTTAGAGAACTAGAGGGCTTTCTCTCTCTCTCTCTCTCTCTCTCTCTCTCTCTCTCTGTCTCTCTCTCTGTCTCTCTCTGTCTCTCTTTCTTTTTAGCATAGTGCTGTAATTTCCAAACTGTAGTGCCTGTTCATCTGCATAAGCAAAAAATAAAAGATGTCATCAGAAAACCGAGGCGCGCGTCAGAGTCTGTGCCTGAGATTAAAAACACGGAATTTAAAGATGTGTTGAGTCACACAAAGTGATGTCTGCTGCACATGAAACATTTATGATGTGGTGTAACTGAGTTAAAAATCAGTATGGGATGAAGTATTCAGAGTTCCTGCATTAATAATGTTAGTTACGTAACAGTGCGATGGTATTTTTAGCAAAGCAGAAACATTGAAACTCCCTGTTATGTAGAAAAATGCCTCCTATGACTTATTACATTGTTATTATTGTTGTGCTGAGGTGTACTGTTTTACTGTTGTAGCTGAATGAGGTGCCAGTTTGAACTATTTCATATATTGGTGTGAACTTTAAGCATCACATTTTACAATCAAAGTTGCTTTTACTGCATATGTAGCAAATTCAGAAAACCATTTCGGGTGAGTCATGGAAGAAATGTTCAGTAAAAGTACCAATACAAATACTCCATGTTTAGATTAGTAGTAGTAAATATCCTTAGAGGTACTTTCTCTGCAGAAAAATGGCCCCTGTGACTAATTATATTCACCCTGATGCATAAGTAGGATTTAACTGGTGTAGCTGGTGGAGGTGGAGCTACATTTCTAAACAGACTTGTGACATATTAAAGGAAAAACCTGAATAAAACCGTGGAGGAATGCAACAAATACAGATGCTTCCACACAGGTACGATTAGATCAGTGAGAAAGACGTTTGTAAAAAGAGTCCGAAATTGTCGCACACTTTTGACAATGTTCATACATTAGAGTGACATTTAAGACTAAACAGAGGAGCAACTCTTCCTCAGGTTGCTGAGAATGTCAGAGCAGGATGTGATCAGACTGTCAGCAAGAAGAGTTCATTAGCAATTACACTGACACGGGTGTTATAGTAGGGTTGAGGTGCACACATTTTTCATTACATAGGTGAATACGCATTTCAGAGTTCAGTGGTGCGAAGCATAATGTTCTACAGACGTGGGGAAAAAAGCGACATGGTCAGATGAGTCATCCTCGGTGTGTCCATCTCTTCCTTCAGAGGTAAGAGCCACCGCAAATCATTACAAAGTGTTCTGAGTGATCACCTTTATCCACTGATGAAACATTTCTAACCTGATAGAAGTGGTCCCTTCCAGGATATTGAGGGCAAAGTGGTCACTGAATGGTTTGATGAGTATGAAAATGATGTGAAATCACATGCTACAGCCTTCGCAATCATAAGTTATCAACCCAATTAGATGGGAGATTTTGGACCAACGAGTTAGACAGCACCACCACCTTCATCATTAAAACACCAAATGGGGGAAAATCTTTAAGATGAATCGCACTCCATCCCTCCAGTAGGGTTCCAGACATTTGGTGAATAAATGCCAGGGTGCTTTGAAGGTGTTGCAGTAGCAAGTGGCTCTTTATGTGTCAGTCTTTGTGTCAGTTCCCCTCCAAAGGATCAAATCAGAGGGTTTCAAAGCAAAACAACTGAAAAACACTGGTTTCATCTTTTTCAAGGGATCATTTTTAAAGTGAGGTAACTGTAGATGTTACAGGAATGTAAGTAAGCAAAAGGTGGAACATTTCTCTCTGAAACATCACAGCAGGAGCCAAGAAACAGCATAACATGTAAAAAGTTAAGTGAAGTGGTTGAAACAACTTTCAAGCTTACCTCATAGATTAATTTCCTCAAAATTAAGACATAAATCACAGTATTCAGAGTTACTAATGCACATCAGATCTCAAGACAAGACAGTGAATTTCAAAGCACAAAACTAAAGCTCAGGAAACAGAAATTTACAGAAAATAAGTAAAATATGGCCACAGAGTGGCTTCAGCATTCTTCATTTTCTGGTTTTACAGGGATGTATTTAATGTTGGCAGTCTGAGCTCTGTCTCCTTTAATTTGATGTGGCAATGCTGGGTTTGACTTTAAAGTTTATAATAGATGCTGCCACTAGAGGTCATTAGTCACCAGCCATCTTAAAAGATGCTTCACTTTAATCATCATATTAGAAGAAGATTCCCACAAGTTACTCACAGTGTTTATTGCAGAAGTCAGGACTGTACTTCTCCTACAGGTATATGAGGTTTATTTTTGGGCCGACAGGGGGTTTGACTTTTGCTTACCATAGTGACATGGACATTAGGTGACTTGTGCAAGTTGCTGGTAATTAAATTTGATGATATTTTAGTACTTGTTGAGGGACTTTTTTTTTCTATTGCAGACCCCACATAACTGATATGGAACATCTGCAATGGAGAAAAGAAAAAACTGGACTTTGTTTTCCATAGTACATTTCATGGTTGGGTGTTGTTGTTTTTTGGTTTTTCTCTTTTACATCTGACTAAACATAAACTGTGGCTTATCTTACTGATCATCAGAGCTACTACAAAGTATTCCTACTTGTGTTATTTGAACCTTTTCCTTCCTTAAAATCTAAGCACTTTAAAATCAAAGTTAAAGCATTTCTTTTTAAATTTGGCGTTTTGCCAAGATTCATAGTTGAAAAAGCAGAAATGAGAACTATGTGCAGTTTGGGAAAACTTCACATTGTACAGCTGTTTTCAGAAAAAACTTTGGGAAATTGGGAATTAATTTAGGTGCAAACAAGGACAAGACAATGCAGAGGAAATGGTGATAATAGTATGCATAGTTTGTAAGCCTGTGCGTTGGCCTGGACTCTTTTTCTGCAGGCTGGATGACGGATTAAAATAGCTGCTGTCAGTAGTGGTGAAGAGATGGGTGAGGCTTCCTGCAGTCTACAGGGGTAACTCTGGATTCTTTATGCCTTTATTCCCTGAGGCATCACATCGTTGCCAGTATATTATTAAATCATGTTGGTGCTGACTAACTAAAAATAATCACAGATATCCCACACCTAGAGACCGACATCTATATGCCGCTTGATCCTTTTGATGCAAGCTTCTGTCAGTGACATTTCAAGCCTGTATGGTGCATAACTCTTATTCATTAAGAGCAAAAATAAATAAATAAATTATAGCTCTTTTTATCTAAAAGTTTAAACTGCTCCAGATAGCTCAGGGCCACCTTGTCTTGACAGATCTTCACCCTCTGACTCACTGCAAGAGAGAGAGAGAGGCCAATCATGACACATTTGAAAACCTGTCGGACTATTTAAAGGAAAGAACACTTAGTGGTGGGAAAAGACGAAATGTCAATAAAGACCTGAATCAGAAAAGAACACACAGTCGTTACATAATGGTTGCTATGCCTTTCGGTAACTTTTCAAATTGCATATAGCTGATTTTTACCTGCACTGCAAACTCTTTATTAGTAAGAGACAGCACACAGATGCAGTTCAAACGCAAAGTTTATTGGTTAATGTGTCCATACTCAGGCAGACTTTTATTTAAACAGATGAAAACAGTAAGCAGTGTTGTAAGAACCAAACTGGTGTGAAATATTGGCACCCAAAGCATTCAAAATTAAATATCTATTTAAAAAACAAACAAACAATTATAGTAAAGACTCATATTAACAGATTTGGATATATATGACTATGGAACTGTAAAATGTGCTTTAATCCTGTTCTTTGTGTAATAATGAAGTTTGTGTGAAGCTAAGCAATAGTTTCATTTAATGTTTTAGTATGCTAATATTGTCTAATTAGCACAAAACATAAAGTACAGCAGAGGTTGATAGAAATATCATATCGTGAGTTTTGTCAGTATTTGGTTATCAACTAAGGAATTAGACACATTTAAATTCTCTCTTGATGATGGTGCAACTTGAAACTTGAGGTGATGGCAAAAGTTCTTACAGTTCAGCCTGAGTGAAGCGTGAATGTGTATGAATCAATCCAACAACTGTTGAGATATTTCGTTAAAAACATGTCAACTTCAGGGTGACACTTAAGGAAGAATCTAAAAAAACCCTTATGAGGATTGATCTTCCAGGGACAATGAATGTCCGTGCAACATTTCATGGAAATGACCAACATAAAGACTGACAGAGAAACATGCAGTTTGTGCAGCTAAAAATCCATTAAATTTCATGTTCTGAGGGTTTTTTGCATTTGTATTTATTAATATCTCATAAAGTCTTCTATCTATTTGGTTTTGAACACTTTAGGTCTATCATAAAAGGCAATTTACAGCTGTATGAAGATCAAACGAAACAACGGACTCCTCAGCAGTGCTATATTAGTGGGGCAAAGCATCACTCTTAACCAGGAAACATCTTAGAAAACAAAAACACACAAGCTGCAGTTTGGGAATTCCACTCTTGGATCCAAATTCATCAAACTGCTGAAGTCTCCACCTTTGTATCTTTCAAATGAGATGTGTAGAGAGAGCCCTGCCCTGTGGTTTACTGGATTCAGCACAAACAACCCTAACCACACTTTAAACTGTGCCAGTGAAGCTGAGCGAAATGCAAAGACAAAGCAAGTGTAGCTGTAGACAAGAGGCGTTTTCCTGAAGCTTAAGAGCAGTCAGCTGTAACTTTTAGATGAATTGAGAAAAAGATAAGTGGGAATCACATTGTGGAAAAATAAACAGGCAGATCATGCAAATGACAAGGCAGTTCATTTATTGTTTTTTTGTTTGTTTGTTTGTTTGTTTTAAATCTGTATTTGTTTCATTCTGCAGCAGGAAAACGCCTCAACAGCCACACATTGCTGTGTCGCTTCCTCTCGGCTCTCTGCACAGATAAGCCTTCATGCAGCAGCTGCCAGCTGTTGCTTCGGTGTTGGCACTGGAAGTGTGTACCATTGGGGATGGTCAGTGCACATGTTGCATGTCACCTTTTCATCTTGGGCTTAGGTGTGCCAAGTGCATGGTGAGACAGTGTGTCCTTTTAATTTTGTAGGTTTCCATCTTCTCCTCCCCCTTCTCTTTACCCTCCCTTTCTGCTGCAGCCTCATACTGGGTGAACAAACTGGTACACCAGTCTCTGAGACACATCAGGCTTACGGATGATGCCTTTCTTGTAGTATTGACGTATGGAGCGGCTCAGCTTGTCATAGTTCATAGCAGGTCGATTCTTTCTGAGTCCCCACAGTCTCGCAACATGAGCCGAGTCTTCGATCTTAAAAATACCTGGTGGGAATCACAAGAGGTTTGACATTTGTAACAACAGGCCAGATAATATACAAAACAGTGTGACTGCTTTTAAAATATGTTCATATAAAAGGAAATGTAGGGATTAGCCCTTCCCTTATGTCCTTCATATAAAAAACCAGTGAGCCAACACAGCATTTTTAAATTACGGGCTGTGAAAAAAATTATGTACTTGTAGAAAAATACTTACATTTTGCATTATAATATGCTTTCTTTTATTGTATCAGAGTTTTTAAAAATGTATTGTATTATTGTGGAATTTTCAGAACAAGATTTCCTCCAATTTAAAATAACTTGCAAGCTCTTTGCTTATGACTTAAAATAGCAGCTCTTGTGGAGTTTAAATGTCAGTTAAAGTGTAAACAATGAAAGAAGTGAAACTGTGAGTTGAGGGTAAAATAAACTGATCACACAAGGAGACAAAGTGTCAGCTGAAACAATGAACACATTGTGAGTATGAAATATAAGCACTGGCAGGACATTACACATCAGTTGAAGAGCTGTCAAGATGTGAGTTGACATCTAATAAGTAGCAGAAGATAAAGACGCAGTTGAAGCTTAATGATGAACGCACTTTAGTTTTTGGTGTAATAATGAAGTTTAAGCCTTGAAGTTAAATGAATTGTAAGTTGAAGGATAAGAGATGGCAGGAGTTTAAATAAAATAGCAAAAAGAATGATAAAATGTGGATTTTTTAAAAAACAAATGTTCTGTTTCTATTGAAATATTTGTCTTCGAACAATAAGTGAGAAATAAATCCCCTTAAAATAGAGTTTAATTGCCCAGTTGAAATGCCTGGAGTGAATTGCATTAAAGAAATTAAAATTACCTTTCTCTTTATTGAGCCAGCGGATGCAGCGTCCGTAGTTGTGAGGTTTGAGCAGGAGCTCTCTGAGGAACTGCCACAGATGAATGGGCTGACCCGAACAAGATGAATCTGCCTCAGACCACAACTCCTCGCTGCCTGTACACCAAAACAAAAACATGTGGTCCTTAATGTCAATCTGTAGTGATTCATTGATATGAGATATGTACAATGGGGGCCAAAAGATTGCATAGGTCTTTAATCAGGGCACAGAGAATAGACAATATGAAAACTTTATGTACATTTAAAACCACATCCTGTAGTATACGAGTTTCTGACCACTAATTGGCAGAGAGTTTATAAAAAAGTAAATTACAATGGTGTTTTTTTATGGGGGTGGAAAATTGCTCTGTGCATTCAATTTATTTTGCCTAATGAATGCAATAATCAATAGTTAATATCTTTCTCAGGCATATTTAGATTAAAAACAATCCTACCTGTAGTTTTAGTATCTCCAACTGAACACCTCTCTTTCATCCAGGCAGCTGGAGAAAAAAAAAAAAACAGACATTCAAATTAAATTCATGTTTTAATCCCTCCAAAACTTTATATAAACACCACAGTGTAGTGCAGGGCAGCCAAACATGAGATCATAAACTCATCAGAGGAGGGGCAGCAGGCAGCAACGGAGTTGTTGAATAGATATGACGCACGTACCTGACTTCCATATGTCCAGGTGTGCGTGCAGTGTGTCTCCGCACTGCGGGGAGCGCTGACGAAAGTCCTCCTCGCTCATGGCACATAGATCCTTTCCTGTCAGTTCCTGGAAGGCTTTTCCTGCATGAGGCAACCTGTACAGATGTTCAGTCCACAGTAGCCACTTCTGGACGTTCCCAGTGTTCCACTCTATAGGGTCTAAAGGCAGAAAAAGATATGAAAACAGTGAGAAAACCTCCAGCTGCCGCTGCAATAAACTGCTTTTTGTGAGATAAAGTCATATGAAGTCAAGTCAGTAATATTTTTTTATTTTTTCAGCTTTGCACTGTGTTTATTTTCTTTGGCAACTTTGACATAATAAATCTACTGAAACCACAAGGCAATCATTCTTTTTTACCACTACAGTTCTAATCAGTAGAACAGATGACTGGGGATCGTATAGATTTATGACAGCCAGAAGCCGTATAATACATTAAAAAAACCCTTTCTCTGTTTGCTTTATGAGCAAAGCGAGACCTCGCCCTTAAGACTGTGTACACGTCTGCTGGCAGGAAAGAACCATCACTGTCACAATCCAAGAGAACTCATGCAAAGGTCAGGATTAAACAGATCCTGGAGCGGGCAAATACGACTTTGCATCAGCAAGGACATGATTCAGATGATCTGTCATCTTGCCTGCGCTATCCACACAAATATGTGTTGGTTTTAGGAGTAAGATCCAGTAGCTTAAGTATCTCTGAATCAATAATCCTTTATTTGCAAATACTGAGCAACACTTTAGGGTTTTTTGTCATGAAAAATGTCTTGTTTACTTATAAGTTTAGTTTCTTTGTCGGTTATATGCCTCGGTACTATAACTCCTGAGGATGACAAACTGCAGCAGCAGGTGTGGTGGAAAAGCAGCCTACCTGGGGTGATGTTCAGCAGTTTGCAGGCTGTTTCAATGTCCTTCAGCACTTCTCCCACAACCATGCTCTGCACCTGCTCCAGAGACTGCTCCTCTTCCTGCCCCTCCAGCCCAGGAGAGAGTCCCTGTTCCTGGCTGTCAATGACGGGGCACTGCTCCGGTTCCTCTTGAGGCTCCATGCGAGTCGTGGGTACAGGTAGCGTTGGCGAAGCCTCTGAAACTTTCACCAACCACGTGGCATCGTCGGTGAGAAGCATGTCAAAGCAGGAGAGGTAGAGGCCTGGCACTCCACGCTCCAGGGCTTCAACGCTTGTCTTGGTGTCCCCCATGCCCCAGGGTTCTCCAGAGCATCTGTTTCGCTCCAGGATGGCGAGAGAGTCCTCTGTCATCCCGATTCGGGATCCATACAATGTGTCTCCTGATAAACTGCCCACTGGGTTTGACATAACTATACCTGAAGATAAAGGAAATACAAGAAGAGACATTCAACTTCTAACCCATGATCTGAACTAAAAGCCATGTACATTTTTAAAAGCAAAGTAAAATGTCTGTTTGAAAAGTTGTTTTAAATTATTCCAATTTCTGACAAAACTTTGCAACATTCAAGCAGTTCAAATTATTGCATAACTACCATAATACCTTTGCCAATTATTCCTCTCTTGCAATGCTATGTCTGCTAAATGAGCAACTGTTCTCGTTTTGAAAGAAACTCCATCAGAGTAGCTGCAGGCGAGAATGTGTTGTTCAGAAGTGAGGTGCAACTGTGCTGCTTGATGCTCTATAAGAAGCCCTGAGTCTCATGGAGATGCTGGGGAAATGACCCTCAAGAGAGTTGAAACACACACAGCGCTGATGGGCATGGGGCAAAATGGATTTGACTGAGTCGCTTATTTGTGGGTCAGTGGCCCAGAATGGTTCATGTCCTGGGGGTGGGTGACTTGTATTGAGACCTGAAGCAGCTCTGCAGTCTGCCTGGGCTTTCAAGGTGCCGTCTCTGCAGCCCTCTGTCTCCACTGTCAGCTGGAGATTTTAATCAAATAGAAGTTAGATAATGTGGGGAAGAGCACCCACAAGATCTCCCAGAACTACATGTTAGAAAACAACCAAAAAGTCAATTTTGTGAAGACGAAAGTCAAACGAGCGGCAGTTTATTTTTCATCAGAAGTGTGCATTTACAGACGTACACTGTAGAACATTGTAATCTTGCATATGGCACCCATAATGTGTACCTGCCACAGCTGGCATATGGCAAGGCACACTGCTGTCACACACCAGGTTATCAGTGGTGACGACTGATGCCACATAAAGGATGTGTGCTCCCACAGAACACATGTTCAAGGACAGTCATGGCTTAATTTGTCAAAAGACAAACAATTAAAGTCTCATAAAGTTTGCAAAATCATTGACTACACTTGCCAGGCCAAGATCAAGTGTGAGCGTAGGTTTAAAATGAATGAAGGTGGCGGGCGGCATGACTCTTCAGATGCAAAAAGAATCAATTCTGTACAACAAATGTTAAAAAAAATGAACAATTCAGTCATGTTGTGCTGATGATGGTTGATGTTTTTGCATCTGGAGTTGACTGACCTGTTGATTCTGGTTACAGACAACTGGCACTACTTTCTAAAATGTCTGGATTCAGATTTGCAAAGTTCCTAACTCTTCAAATGAGTCACGAGGCAGACGACTGTACATACTTTCACTGTTACCAAACTGCCCTAAAGTTAAATGAAGTCATCGTCCCTGCACCCACGACAAGAATCCTCTTTCTAGTTCTTGGTCCTCAATCCCCCCCCCACCCTAACCCCCACCTCCCCTTTATAAAACCTTCTGCCCATTCCTCCTTTTATCTCTAAACTTCTCCTAAACTATATCCCTTTTACTCTATCAGGAGTCAGATTAAAAGCCACTGGTATCCCAGCCTGCTGCTGCGTGTCAACTCTGCTCTGTAACAGCTTGCGCTAAGCCCATTAGCAAAGCAAATTTAGCCATATTACCTTCTTCCAAAAGGAAGAGGGGGCACAAGAAAAAGACACAAACACACACCCCCGGGGAGAGGGATTAAGACCCTGACTGATCTCTAAATGAGTTTGGTCAAGACGCTGATATTCATTTCAGGAGCATTAGAGATTGCTCCATTTACTCAGCAAAGTCAGCCTTTGACACAGAACCAAAAAGGACTCCCTCCATGCAGGCGTCCACCCTGGGAACCATATTTTTTCTACATGCTTGGTCTCACTAAGCATAAAGAAGGTGATTTTTTTTAGGTAAAGTTTGTTTCATTTCCATCGATTGCATATGATTTTTAAAAAATCCTTATTTGCCTTTTTCTACAAACACCTGAAACAAACAGCCCAAAGAGTGACTTTTCACTGGTGGCAAAAACAAAAAAAACAAAAAAACAAGCAAAATGGAGTGTAAAGTGGTTAAAGTTGCAGACCAACGCAACCAGTCCTGCTTAAAATTAACCCGTGGGCAAATCCATCATTGCTGCTCAGCAGAAGTCAGCTAAGTGTTTAAATTAAAGTTAATGAGTAGTGATTAAAACAACCACAGAGTTTGGGCTTGTTTAACTTCGGTGATTCAGTCTGAGCTAAAACAGAAAAGGTCAGATGAGATTTGGAACCATCTATCTAATGGTGACCAAAATGTGCAGCGAGTGCTCCGCTGGCGTTGTTTGAGTCTGGAGTTAAAGGAGTGTGTACAGCCAGGCGTGACTGTTTGCCATGTGAGTGCTGAAGGGAGATCTTTTTTCTTCCTTGTTATTGTTTCTCATGGGAAACTTGGACCAACTAAGGAAGTCATTGTTCCGAGAACAAGGATAAAAAAAAGGAGCTTCATCTTTGCGTCAAGCTCCTCCTCGCTCGATATGACCACTGCTCGGAAGAAAGTCTTGTAGAAAGCGATTTGGTTCTGTGGATTGCTGCCTTGGATCCGTTTTTATGGCAATGGTGACATGTGCAGGTGCTCTGTTCACATCATAAATTAGAATGAGGTGTGACAGCAGTCTGGTTTTAGGTATTTGCTTATTTTATGAAATGTAAATAAAGGTTGACTTTATGTGTTTGTGGCTGCAATGCCGTACGATATTTGCAGCTTGCAGAGCATCACAAATCCCCTGTTTCCTATCTGTCTAACTTACATGTTGTGTTATATTCTTTTTTTTTTTTTTTAACCACCCCTGGGCAGCTTGTATTAACTGCCAGTGGGGGATGTTGGTGTATTCGGTGATTCATTTCTGCGGTTCGTCAGGTGTGCTGGCATTAGGCCAATATCCCAGGAACCTGAAACACTGCAAATGCGGTCCCGCTGGTCCAAATGATTCTGCAGTTACGGTTAAAGATGCCGACGATAAACTTCATCTAACTCAGATCAAACCTGAAGATTGTAGGCAGACAGAGAAATTAACTTCTCACCTGCTTTGTTTTTTTTTTTTTGATAGCAAACACATGAGGCCTGTCACTATGTGGCCTGAGGCGTGTAGTTCTGGATTTAATGTGTTAATTGTCAGGAGGTTAGAAAGATGTGGTTTATGAGAGAAGTTTTCAAAGTTCAACAAAACAATGCGTATAATCAGCGGCTGCCTGACAGAGTTCTATTAAAACCTCGATGTAATCGGCAGCAGTGTGATGATGTAGATAAGTGACACAGATGAATTAAACCACTGGTCTGGTCTCATGAGCTAATAGACTGATAAACATAAGGTGTCTTTGTCTTTTACATACCAGAATCTCACAAGTTTCCATTCATTTTAGGTTTGAATGGCATTTAATTTGCTCCGTGGATGGAAACATACATCAGTTCACATTTCCACAAACGTGTAACATTATGAATACTATGCAGGAGGCCTGGTCTTTAAACTGTCCTTATGTTTAAATGATATCTGTCAATGTAGGAGTTTGGAACAACTTCTGCTCAGACAACCTGATATATGAAATACTTCTGATCGAGTCCGGGTTGTGTGCAACCCTGAAGTCAAAGCGTTAAAATTTCAGGTTTTCCGGCCATTCCACTCCTGTAAACATCATTTATTAGGACCTGCTTGAAGGAATTTCTTCAAATTTTGAGCAAAAGTTCACTCAGACCCAAAGATGAAATATAATTAGATAGTCATGACCTCATAAAACACACTTTTGGCCATAACTCAATAATCTAATTATGACAAAATTTCAAACAATTGTCTAAAAGGATAAAGTGATAAAGTGGTGACCAACAGATTAAAGGTCAAGTCTGGACAGACATGGATATAAGAAGCTTGACTTGATTGGTGGTAATTGTAGTTGGTTTTTTTTTTGTCCCCCCCCAAGGACTGTATATAAAACCATAGCAACCATAACTAATGTCCAGTGGTTTGTGGAGTACCATTTTGAAACTTTGACTTTGGAATTTGGCAATTTCCATCTTGATGTTTTGAAACTAGATTGACAAACTAGCAACTGAGACCATAAACTTATTGGGGAAATGTTTACTGATGTCACAAATAAGTCAGAGGAGTCGCCCCCTGCTGGCCACAACAAATAATGTAGATTTGAAGCAATACTTGACCGGACTCACTTTTCAAACCCAGAGGCTATGTGCTTCTTAGTAATATACAGTATATGATTTTTGTTGGTTTTGAGGGTAAGTAGTTAAACTTTTTTTGGGAAAAGTGATTTTTTTAAATCACATATTGACATTTTTCATCTAAAAATCGTTGCATCAACAAGATGACTGTCTTGCTGTGAATCATAAAGATGTGCTTTTCCGTATGTAGAATACTTCCTATTAATATTTTTTTTCCATTTGGAGGGGAAGGGTGTAGCGCTTTAAGACAAATGCTGAACTGTAAAGCAAGCAAGCAAAGTCACCTACAGAGTCAGTGCAGCTCATGATGTAGAGTAATGATGCAGATTAGCCGGACATGAATGAGAGGAGAATAATACACCTGCGGCCTCAGAAATAACACAGCTGACAGTCCAGTTCTGTTATTTCTGTTTGTAATTACTCTCGTTGTCTTGGGGATCAGCCGTTATATTTAATTTCCACTTTTAATCAAAATCATAATTAAATCCCCCGTCGTATCCCGAACAGCAGTGACAAATCTGTTTTGATTGTGTCAATTTATTGCCTTGGTTTCTGGCATCTAACTGCCGACAGCCTCCCAAACACCTTTTATCCAACCACATGTTGTATATCATCCGTCTGGAGAAAAGCTGATATGCAATTGCAAGTGTGTAGAAACAAGCAAAACAGGTAGGTGTGAATAAGACACAGAGAAAACACAAAGAAAGCCAATAAAAATTCATCAGTATTTTTCTTTTTTTGTTTTTATGAATCATAAATCATTTCATGTTTGATTATGTGGTAATATTATTCAGCTTAGTGTGTCTTTGTTTTCAATTTATAGCTGTCATTAAACAATTACCACTGCCTTGTCGTACATGTCTGTTTTTTTTTAATGATTGACTGATGACATGTTTTTGAAATTGGCCTGTTTTTGTTATTATGATTATTATTTTGCCGTATGTTGTTTTTATACTATTCCATTGGGCAAATTGTTCGCTTTTGTATATTAGGTTTTCTTTCTAACCAAATTTGCAACTATCTGGATTCTTTTTAACTGACTGCTAGAACTTTAAGTCTGCATTTAAGTTAATAATTGACATAAATGACTAAAACCACTGTTAAGCCCATGCTGCTCAGAAGACCCACTGTATTTTTTCTGACACGTGAGAAAATGATAATCATCATTTGTCCACAGCAGTAACAGGCATGTGCAAACTAGACGTGCACTATTTGAATTTACAAGAAAATCTGGTTGAATCCCAGCAAACCACAGCTTGTTTAAAGCAAATATCCCCCCTTTGAATAATAATAATATTCCTGTGAAAAAACAAATAGACGCACATTAAATATTCAAGATCTTGCATAAGCAGCAGCTTCTTACCACGGCAAAGATGCTCGGATGGCCGTAGGAAAAGGTTTGACTGGATGGTGGAAGATGCAGCGCAGTTTCCTCAGACAGGACGCCCGTGTGCCACCTGAGGACAGAGCAGCAGCAGGCAGCGGGCAGCTTTCAGTGGACTAACTCCTGATGACTGTCGCTGAGCGCCCAGTCTGAGGCCTCAGACCTTCCCAGGCTTTGTCTTTTTTCTTTTTTGGGGGGACAAAATTACACTTAACCTGAAAGTCACAGCTTAAAGCACAACTGCAAACTAAACTTCAAGTGAAAGTACCTGCTGGGGGTGTGGACAAAGTGAGAAGGAGGCAAGTGACTGGTTGAGTGAGTGCAAAGGAATTCCAGCACCACTGACTGCAATTTATATTTATAGGGCAGTTGTGTTTACTTATGCACACACAACCCAGTGTGTGTGTGTGTGTGTGTGTGTGTGTGCGCGTGTGAGAGAGAGTCCACTTGCAGATTAGCTAAGACCTCCTCAAACACTACTACTTGACCTCAGTGCTTAGGTAATAGACAATTAAAAGTGATAAGATATTATAGAATATAAAAAAAATAAATAAATAAATTAAAAAAACGTTCTAAGTTTTGCGCCTGAATGTTTGTAGGTGAAGTGGCAGAAAGCACCTGAGGACATGCACTGAAATACAAAATTTGGGTTACTTGTATTTTACTTGCACACTGAAAAAAAAGAATTGTTGGAGCAACTTCAACGTCAATGGATTGCTTCAAATAGTAATGTGCATTTGAACTCAGTTTATCCAAAACAAGTTACTTCGTAATTCCAATGGTACTGGTTTCAGTTAGATAAGTATCACTGCAACCTAATTTTATGGCAAGTCAGCTTGAAGTTTCCAGCTATTTCAACTTATTTGGTTGACATGAACGTAAAATGTAAAACATGATTTTGTTTTTAGACTTAACGTCTTTTCCTTTCTTTGTAATCCTACTGGAAGAAAACGTGGTTGAGTTGCAGCAGAAAAATTTAAAGAAACGTTGACATCGGTGGCACCTGGTTTTCACACAGTTTTTCGTGTTTTGCTGAAATTCAAGTACTTTTTAACAGGGACAAAACGTAATTTTAGGTTGATAGAATCAACAAAGGTAAACTTCATTCACTACAGCAGAAAGATAAGTAGGATTTACTTAAAACAGCACTTTACTTCAACAACAGCTTAAACACACCTTTTACCGTTCAGTACTTTCATTTTATGCTAGTTCTACTACACGTTTTACTCTGCTATGTTTATATGATACATGATTATAACTATAGCTACAAGCCACTCTTCAGATTAAAATAAAAACAAAATTTTTAAGAGTGAAATTCTGTTCAGACAAAAAAATTAATTACTTTATACTTAAAATATTAATGTTTCATTGTAAAACTAGAAAGCTTTAAGATAGAATAGTAGGACTTTAAATTTATTCATAATCAGCTGTAATTCATACTCATGGGATTGTTACAATATTTCAACATGAGGTGCAAAGAGATTTGTCCTGTGATAGAAACCACAGCTTTGTTCTGTGTTATTATGAGGCATCAGCAGAGTGAAATGAAATATCTTCCAAAGTCACAAGTTACCGCAATGGTGTTTTTTTTTTGGCTTCTACAGACAGCAGTGAGCTACAGTAGTGGAATGACAACAAAAAGGGCTATTTCATACTTAAAAAGACACTACTTTACCTGGTTGATCGGACTAAGTCAGACTGCTGAATCCTCATATGAACCCTGTTTGAACTTTGGAATTCATTTTTTTGCGAGGATTGGGGATTTTTGCCCTCCAGCACTTACACTGAAATTGCTTTTGGAGGGAATTTCTTTGTGGTCAGAGGAGGAAATAAAACTGTCAGTCGTGCTTTCAAGTGTACTTACAGTCATGCCAATTGTCTTAGGTCAGACCACAAAAAAAGTTACAGTGCAAAAGTAGCAAAATAATGTGTCAAAAGGAAAAGTACTTATTATGCAGAATGTCCCATTTCATAATTGTATTATAATATGTTAGACTCATTGTTGAAGCATTAAAATGTAAGAAACAATGTAAAGATCCAGCACACAATGGTTCTGCAGGTGTTTTCATTGAATCAGCCTGATTAGACGTCTTCTCAGAACCTTGTGGATGTGACATTTCCCTCACTGGCCCGCACACATGCTTTAATGCCACTTTCTCTTTTTTTAGTCATTCTTATGCTTAAATAAAATTTGATCACTTGATGTTTTTTCCAACCAACTTCAAGCTAATTTTTTTTCATTAGATGTAGCCTAATCACACGAGTTGGTAGAGATTATTTTAGCTGCTTTAAAAATTGTGCATCTGCTGTCATATCAAGTTTATCTGTAAATTCGCATCAGCAATCTGCAAATTATAGATGGCACAATGTTCTCCCCGTGCAGCGTGGGTTCTCTCCGGGTTCTCCAGCTTCCTCCCACACAGTCCAAAAACATGTTGAGGTTAATTGGTGATTCTAAATTGTCCGTAGGTGTGAATGTGAGTGTGCTTGGTTGTCTGTCTCTAAGTGTAGCCCTGTGATAGGCTGGTGACCTGTCCAGGGTGTCCCCTGCCTTCACCCTGAGTCGGCTGGGATAGACTCCAGCCCCCCATGACCCTAATGAGGATTAAGCGGTGTATAGATAATGGATGGATGGATAGATGGCACAGTAAAAAGTACATCATTTGCTTTTAAATGAGTAAAGTTAAGTGGTAACAAGCATTGAACTGTACAATTGCCTCAAAAGTTATTCTTCTTGCAGACTGAAATAATTAGTCGCTGTAAGCAAGTTTCATCCCATATGGAGCAGTCCAGTAAAATGAAATGAATAAGCCACCAGGTTTTATAAAATGTACATGCGAACATAAAACTCTTCCATTGCTTAATCTACATATCTGCTGTTCAGCCATATGTTTGATGTATTCAAAAGGTCTGCTGTATTTGCTGCTAGCTGTTTACACATAACTAGCTGTTTAACTTCACGAATCCCTGTGGCTACATTTACATACATAGTTTATGTTCATTTTTACTTTCTTTACACTCTTTATTGTTTGTACAAAAATTATTTTCAGCATATCATCTAGGTCCAGCCACTCTAACGTTAATAATAGCAATAATTTAGTGTTAGCTGAGCTATTTTGTGGTTGCTAACCAAGCTGCTAACTGTGGCTAGTAGGTAACCTGACAAAGAATTTGCATTAAAAAGCAACTGATTCAGTTGTTAAATCCAGCTTATATTTCATTAATACATGTTTAGTATAACATACTAATAAAGTAAAAGCAAAAAAAAACCCATTGAATCAACAATGGTATGTATAAATTCTACACAAAAATGGGCCAACTGTTTATTAGCACGGAGGACTTTAATATTTGATACAAAAAACTCATAAAGTAAAACAACCCCCAAATTTATTTTTATTATTTTGGTGTTGACTGACAACATTTTTGAAAACCACTGGTTTTGGTAACCATATCCCAGCCTTTATCAGCAGCTTGAGACTATGCAGGTGTTATTTAATATATATAGATGCTAAACCTTTAATATTTGTGGCATTTTTTTTTTTTTTTTTTACAATTTCCTATACATATGGTAACATAAAACATGATTTTAAGATTATATTCCACTTCCCACACATATTCTGCAAATCTGAAGCATCCCCACTATTGTCAGTTTAATAATGTCATAGAAGACAATTTGATCCAAACACAGCGGTTACATTTCAGAGTAATTTTTAAAAGTAAGGAGTTCATAGGAATTTCAGGTTTGTTGTTGTCTAACTCTACTGTGTTGTCATGTCATTCTACAGTATTACAGTTAGTCTGCATGAGCAAACGATAAAGTTTTGCCTCATTGAAGGTGGTTTCCCAGCATACAACAGAGTGCATTTGTTTTGGTTACATGGCTGATTTCATGAACAAAAAAACTGCAGAAAAAAGCAGGTATTAAGATCTCTATCACTGCCCAGTACTTCAGATTACCAGCCCTGCATGGACAGAAAAAACAGTTGAGCCGCACATCTCTGCTTTAAAACTAGCAATAATTGTTCCTTATTTAATTTTAGTGGTCCCTCGCCACGAAGGTTAAAACTGTCTGTGTAATTCCTTTTCACTGTAACTGCGATGTGATGCCTTGTAAAAAAAAAAAGAAGAAGAAGAAGAAGAAGAAGAAGTGGTTTCCTTTAGATGAGTGCTTTGCGTAAATTAACACCTCTTTAAACAATGTGACTCTGTCAAAAGCATGGAAATAACAGGCATTTGTAAAAAGGCTTTTAAAGAGAAGCTTGTTGTTAGCACAACAGTGGTCACCCACGCCAATGAAAGTACTTCAAGACTTCTGTATATCTTATCTTTTCCTTCTAATCTCACTTTTAATTCTTTAGGTAAGCCGCTAAATGGCCTGTCCTCTGATAGCACTGGCCAATTCCTGAAGTTTCTTGTTTTTTTTTTTTTTCAGGTCCAGGACATATTTTCTATTCTTTTATTTCCAATGCAAGAGCTGTGAGCTTGATATGGCAAACCACACAGTTTGAATGGATTGATTGTGAGATATGGAAAGGGTGTGCGCAAACTGCGTCAAGACTCCTTAGCAACTGAATGTTTGTAGACACACCAGATCAAACTGTGAGCGAATGGCGAATGTCTCCTTTCATTGGACAATTTGTTATGAAATCATAAATGTGTGCATTTGTGCATGTGCATAAACATGCACGTGTGTGTTTCATGCATACAGCATGAGTGCAAACTTGGGAATACATACTTTTGTACACACAAAAATGTGCACTTTATGATATTGCACATATTTGAATCAGCTCATGACTAAAACTGCATGTATATTAGTATTTTGTTTTTAAACCTTCATGCAAAAAGAAATTTCAATGAGGATAAAATGTCTGTTTGCGTTTGGCTTGAAACACATCCATTTCATCAACAAAATTTGCATGGCAGTTTCTTCACCTAGCGTTTGACCTTTTTCTTGGCTCTAGAATAACATTTTCATGGTTGAAAGACAATGAGCTAAAAGAAGCTAACAGACTGGATG